GCACTCGGAGACGCGACAGTCTGGATTTAAAAAAAATTCGGTTCAGTAACCTGCTGCTTTTCAATTACAGCCTTGTTGTAGCTGAAATGCATCATGATCATGTTACGGTTTTTATCTCACCTGTGCGTAAAAAGGAAATTTACACACGCAATACTAAAGCACGCAATTATATATAGATACACGTGAAATTCACGTAGATTAAAAAATCTGAACGTTTATTGTTAACGCTGCCAGTCTTCAACCCCAAGAAAGTATCGGATGTTATATATATATATATATATATCATTGATAGTGGCCAGAATGTCGAGAAAGATTATCACGTCAAGAGATTAAAAATATACAACAAGCGGAAAATGTCACTAAAGCGAGAAGTGCTTTTCCTTCGCGGCTCAATCGCGATGCGTGCGATCGTAGTTTTGACACGAGACTATGGGCGGAATCCATAGACGGTGCTCAAGATTTGAAATGGTCTTAAGCTAGTGTATGAACCAATCAGAGAACCGTATTTAAGACCGGACTATGGATTCCGGTCTAAGTACGTATACTTACACATATTTCTATATCGCAATATTATCGCCGTGCCATGCAATGATATCACTTCGCGGAAAAAAAATCGTTCCTTAGAAAATCATCGCAATTAGCCGAGGAAGTATAGATAGCGAACGCGTATAAGATAAAGACGTAAAAAATGCAAACATATGTCGATCGCTGACGCATTGCACATTTCGAGCGAAGACAAAGAGATAAGAATAGCGAATCACCTTGCATATAATTACCGCGCACATGGCTTTATTATCTCGTATCGCGACATAAATATGCATCGATAAAGACAACGAATACGAGTTCTTCCATGTTTTGCTCTGTAGTGTATTTATACAGGCATGCTTCGACAAAGCTGTTTCGATTTGAAAAATTAATCAGCTTGCTATTCTGTGTATCGGAAGACCGTCCAAAAATATTCACAATAATATCAGATCACTAAATTATTTAATTTGTCAAATCAAATCTGTTGAGAAAAAACTTTGCAAAGTATCTGCCATAGATATTGTCAGTAAAATTCAAGACAATAGAATTTGTTGGTGAAATATGATGTCAAATTGATTAAAACGAGAAAAATCTAATTTTTCCATACAGAAATTTAATATTGGAAAGTAGTAATTGACTATTTAAGCATTAAACTACTGCTTTTAATATTAAAAACGACTAACCATTGTCTTTCAGTATTAAATTGGACAGTATTAAGTGGGATTTTTATAAGGGTCATAATTACTATTTAAATGTGATAAATGATTGAAATAATTACTTAAAAAATGATAAATTTTGCTATTATATTATGTCGATTTCTGCTTATGCCAATGATTTCAGATTATATCGATAAGTTCTACTGGCAAGGCACGAGTTTAATACAGCAATCGATGACATTTTGTCACATTCTGGTCAAATCTGCTAATATTTTGCTTACTGGATAAATACACTATATCTTAATACATATATAATAATTGCAATTGATAAACTAATAAAGATAATATAATTATATATTATACATATAACAAACGTTTTTTAATTAACATTCTGTATTATCGTTGTATAAGACTTTCCAAAAGAAACATAAAAAAAATCAGTAGCCACTAGATCTATCAGATAAACTACAATGAAACACACGGTCGGGAGATTCTTTATAATTTATTTATTGATAAGTAAAATTACATATATATATCCACAAACACAATACGTTCTTTTCACGGGGTGTAATAATGCGTTAAAACTTGTGAGCGGCGAGGAGAAATACCTGCGAAGGAGAAAGAGGGACGAGGAGAGTTTGCTTTTTTCTTAAGTCTTTCGACACTGCCCTTGTGTCTCTCGTGAACAACAGCAAACCACGGCACTTGTCAATAATAAAAAAAAAAGAGAATAATTCCGAAGGTCGAGAATAATTTGCGATGCAAGAACGAATTAAGCCAGGAATTTAGAAACGCTCTTCAACGCGATACGAAAATGTACTACATCTATAATAAAGTAAAAACAAATTACGAACCTCGTTTTATTCCTGGACCTTTCGACTCCTGAAAATTCCTTCAGAAATCGAAAGATCCGCCCGCTGCATACACGTTAATATTTTTTACGCGTACAAAATACATGACCGAAGAACACATAATTCATTATAAATGTATGTACGATGCGTCAATTATTTCATATATTTAAAATACAAAATCATGTTTTGTGCAAGATAAGTTCTCTGCATAATAATACGATTTAAATTCTAATAATATGCTGCAGATACTCTCACAGAACGATCGTTTGTAGATGTCTTTTTGACTGATTTGGGTTAGACATAATTAAACGTTTTCTCCACGGATTGCCATTGTTCACAGAAAGAGAAAGCGAAACCTTTCGCACATACTGATATTTTCGTCAGAATTCGTAATTTTCAATACGCTACGATAAGAACGTAACGGAGGCAATTATGTAGTTAGTTGTCCTTGCGCCACGCACTATTTTCGTCTATGTCTATTTTATACGGCCGTATCATTAATGATACGGAAGAACGTAATGAATTTCGTTTCGCAGTTAACTTATCTTTTGATAACGGAAGTTAAATCGGATTCTAGATTGTGGATTTCCGATTCGTGGGACAAGCCCGGATTAATAACAGAATTATCGCGTTGCGCAAAGGTCAAAGAACATGACGTTTTTCAGAAATCGAAGATAATAGTGCGAGGACACGTAATCGTGCTGCTCGATAAACCGTCCGAAGACGAGAGGATGATGCGAGGAGACACCGAAAAAACTGTAAAAATAAAGTCCAGTTTTTAGTATCATTATTATACTCTTTCTCCGTCTCTGGACTCGCTAATCTCTGGACTGCGACTTGAAGGACGTATATCTCTTTTTTTTTCTTCTCCTTCACGTCTCACATGGCTTTTAAGCTAAGTTTCAGTTATCTCGATATAATATATATATATATATATACTTATTACCTCTTTACAAAAATCAATTCTTAAACTTATACGTACGGAGGTGGCCCGATGCAAATTCACAGTATCTTGAAGCGCACACGCCGACCTTTTTCTTTTCTCTCCCTCTCTTTCTCTCTCTCCTTCTATCTTTTCCCGCTACAATCGAATCACCGAAACATGATATGCTCCGACTATTGGCTAATACTGATACCTCTCCGATGTCTTCTACAAAAGTCATCGAGAGAGCATTGGACCGTTGTTGCCTGCGTATGGCGCAATCACGTCAATTTCGCTCTGGGTAAAAATCGGCGAGTCAACTTGCATGCTTCTACACGCGAAATACAGTTCCAAACCGCTGTTTGCTTTGCACTTAATACGCGATTAAATTTAACGAACGATATATGTATATGTATATATATACGCACGCCGATCACAAATCATCCTCAATACAGGCCAATCGTAATGATCGCAAACTATCTTTCTGCGAGAGCAGCTTTAGCTTTGTGAGCCTTAGAAAAATAATAAGTCCCTTTACAATCGCTTAAGGTCTTCAGCATCTGTGAATCCGTATCAAGGTCAGATTTTTTTTTCTTTTATGCGATGTTATCTCCATGTTGTTTAACGACTATATACGCTATAGGTACATAATATTTAATTTAATATGTATACATGTATATGCATGTGTATATCCATATATATATATGTATATATATATTTGTGTATATATATATCTCTATATATTATCCCCATACTTCATAAACATACACACATACATATACATATATAATAGACATTTTATATCATTATTGTAACGCATTGATGCTATCTGCTGTTATTCATATAATCATAATACATTTACTGGTATAATTGCTATCTCGTCTTACAATATATCTAAAATAATATTTTTAACATTCAGCGATGTGTTGTTTAATGTGTGTGACTGTGTCTTGCATCCTGTTTGTTGCCTGTTGTCGCCGGTTGTACACACTCTTTTCCACCGGAGTTGCGTGAAGACAAACGATCGGTGTGTGACAAAGAT